AACAGGATTATTCCTCTCTGTGGGCTGCTGTCTGCTCTAACAGTTAAAAGGCCTTTATATAGCTCTGTGAAGGTGGCTGAGGGGGAGATGTTTTAAAGTGTATTCACTGGAAACTGAGGGATTTGACTCTGCGGCAGGAAATAGACAATTTATTATAAGCAGCCTAGGGTGCTAGTGGATTATCTATAAAACTTTCATGGCCGGCCCTTGGTGGCAGGCAGCCATAAAACTTCCTGAATGAGGGACTTGTTAATTTACTTGTTAAAGCAAATTAAAAATTTCCAAGTGCTTTTAGATAAATGAGATCCCCTTTCATTGTAGCTCTTGTGGGATTCTTTGTCTTTCTCCGTAAGATCCTTGGAGGACAGGTTAGCTACACCGCAGTACAACAATAAAAGTTTAATAATACCTGGCTTTATTACCACAAGGCTCCACAACTGCTATGGCGCATAAGTAAGGAAGAATGGGAACTGCTGGTGACCAAGTCCCCCAGGCTTCTTTTGAAATCAAAAAGCTCAGCCTGCTCTTCCATGCATGTTTGAGGGAGAATAGTGTACTGAGGTTACTGGACAGGCTGGTATGGTTTGAAGTGTTTTGTGTTTGATTGTATTCAGTTGCTAGGCAAACATTTTGGAATAGGTCAATGGACACCAATAAAGGACTTTTTAGTAAGTGGGAATAGAAAATAAATGACTACATGTGTTAACCATAATCCAGTAAAAGCTTTCAAAGGCTGTGTGAAGAGTCTAGTCAGACAGACACTAAGAATAAGCTTTCTTCATTACTTCTACACTACACGCAGTGTTGAGGCTTAAATACTTTCCTGTCCCCAAGATTCACTTCACATTTTAAAACACATGAACATGAATGCATTGCCAAAAAACTGCTATCTTGGTCTCAGCAGGTTCTACATTTGCCATTAGGTAACTTTGTTAGGACACACTCCTCCTCTCTTGCAATGAGTTGTCATGATTTCTTATCCTCTATAAGCAAGCCCTTTTTTGTATTAAGTAATATCGGTTTTACGACAGTGGGCTTTATTGATACTGGTGTTATGTCAGTGTAGAGGACTTAACGTAGTTCCCAGAGTGCATCTGAGTGCTGCTGCTGCTGCTTTCTAAGAAGACAGTAAAACTGTCTGTTATATAAAAAATACTAAGCTCTTGCTTGCTGTCTCCATAAAACACATTTAGCTTATGCACTGTGTGCTGTAGTCTTTAATAGTGGCTTTGCTTTGCAGCTGCAGCCAGACTAAAATCATAGTAACTCTAAGTACAGAGAGAAGTGTAACTGATGGTAGGGGTAACGCATGGTATATAAGAACCGTTGTGAATTAAATTGGTGCTCGAGGGGTTTTTGCTATCGGCATGAATCTGGATTTTATAACACGGCGGGATGGAAAATATTATGAGCATGTTTGATATGCAGTCCGAGGCTGCTGTTATGCTTGGCCCCTATTGACGCAGTTGGAAACTCATTCCAATTTTCTCAGTGGCCTTCTGAAAGTACTTTGTTCTATGATCACAACACTGTAAAATAGCACATAGTGCATGTGTGTAGATGTAAATATATATACACACATTCTTTTATTTATTTATTTATTTTCACACTAATTGCTTCTGTGTAGTCTTTGAGCCCCTACAAGGTTAAGGCTACATAGGTCTGTCTGACCTATTTATGAGGAATGCACAACGAGTGACTCATTCTATTACCACCATAGATCAAAGCCCTGGCAGCAGCATAAATTGATCTTTAATAGTGTGGAGACTTTGAGAGTCCTTTGTGCCAGAGAATCTTGCTGCCTGCTTATTGAAAACAGAAGTTAATTCTATACTTCACTAAACTCAGACTAAGGTGGGGGAAATCTGCACTAACAGGGAACAGATTGAGGCAAAACAAGACCTTACTGTTTTGAAATTAATGGCAGATGCACTTACTGCAAGTTTAAATGTTTTATTAGATGCTAATATCTTGCTCTGTTTTTAACTGTTGTGAAATTAGTTGCAGGAATATGAAAACCATCTGTTTGTTATCTTCTTTGAGGGAGAATCTTTGCCCAGGCTGTGCCCTCTGGGTCCTTAAGGAAGTTTGTCCTGATGTTGCAACCTGGCGAAGCAGTCAATTCCAATTAATGTCATTATGATTACACAAGCTAGAATATGGAAGCACATGCACACATTCAGCACATGATGAACACTGACAAATAAATTCTTGTGAACAGATACACATACACACACACATCTTTTTTTGCACTGTTTTGGAGTCAGGGCAAGCATTAGTGCAGTTGTTATAAAAGGAAGTAATTAAAATGATGTATATAAACTATTGCCTAAGCTAATGAAAGATAATGAGTAGGCACATCACTTTCTGATTGATTGAAATGTGCAAAGCCACTGGGTTTATAGACAGGACAGGTTTATTCCCCTGATGTAACTACTGAGTGTAGAGATTCAATATTAGTTGAACTTTGATGATGGTTATTTATTGAGACCTCTAGCATTTCTATGCTCTGTTTTAGACTGCTATCAATGAAAGCACTGAAAATGAATCTAGTGCCTGCAGTGATTATAGTGCAGATGAGCGATCTGCACACCCCAAGAAAGAGAAATGCTCTCCAAAGCAGTTTCAGAAGCCTTAAGAGAAATTAAAACGCTAAGGGACACTTTTTCAAATCACTTTAGATTAGGGCTTGGCCTCATCATGTTTCAGAAGATGTGATGTTGATTGAATAGATTGCCATTTTACTTTAAAAGTAATCAAGGGAAATCATTCAAAATGAATTAAGATGTGTCTGGTCAGAAGCAATGTTGGAATTAGAGATATTGCGGCCTGTAGCATGCACTGTGCTACCCCGGGCTTAGGGAGGAGGCAGGGTTTAGGGTTGCAGCAGCCATTTCACTTTTATTTTCACCCACCAAACAACCAAAACAAAACCAAACAACCAAAGCTAAGCTCAAACTAGACTTTTCAGTCCTTTTCAAACTAAGCTCTTCAGGCCTCTGCTGCTGCTCGTCCCTCTCTCTTTCTGCGTTCCCTCTCTGCTCTTTTTAAAAAGCTTGAGCAGCCAAGCCAAGAGGGAGAGAAAGCTCATTGCTCCGCCTCCCCGTCACCACCCTCACTCCACAGCTCATCCGCCTTGATCAAACGTGAGGCAAATTAAAGTGGCCTTAGTGCGGGACCAGAGGCGGCGCCCAGGAGGTGGGACTTGGGACTCGGGACTCGTGCGCCGCCCCCCCAGTCACTTACAGTGTTCCTCTCCCCAGTGTTCCTCTCGGGCTTCACTTGCTGCCGGCTCTCGTGGCCATCACCGGGGCCCAGGGGACAGGCACATGCCATACGGTCACATTCCCAAAAATACAGTATTCTTCACAAGTGAACCATTAGACTGGGACAACGGGGTCTGCAACCTGATGTGCTAATGGGTTCATGAGAGAATCCACATGTGGTTTATGTCTTGTCCACTGTTCAGGTCTGGTCAGTCTGAAAAGCAGGATGGGTGGCTTAGGCAGTTTAGGAGCTATAAAGGAAGGCAGCACAGCAGAGATGCTTCAGAAGAGGTTTGAGGATTCTTTAATGAGGAAGATATCATCAGTCAGCTGCATTCAAAACAAGAACACAAAGTTCTTCTGAAAGTAGCTTTTCAAATATCACAGGAACTATGTTTTGCAAAGAAACAAAGCATGTGCACAAAACACATTCTCCCTGGTGTACTTACTATGTGGTCCCTGCACCTGCACCCCCGTGGTTCTTTTTGAACCCTGTTTGATGCTGACTTGTTTCTCCCTTTGCCTCTCTTTTGCTCTTTTGAGTGGTGCAGTGCTTCATATCAAAGGGTCCTGCTTGCAGAAGCAGTCGACACTGCCTAGCATCACTGGGTTCTCCCATGGAGAGGGATCCTTTCACATAGCTAATGGCTACAGAAAGGGAACAGTTTCATTTTAATTATGTGCTTTACTCAAGGGCCCTCTACTCAGCAACCCCCCATCTCTCCTCTGCTGCTTTAACAACCCAGAGCCAGCACCAGAGAAAAGATATATTCTTCAAGCTTCATCCCTACCTTCTCTCCCTGCTTTTGTGGAGGCTATTTTTTATGATCATAGAGGAGAGGGAAAATGAAGAGTGAATGTGAATACATATATATTATACACACATTATTTTGCAGACACACACACACACACACACACACACCCCTAAGAGAGAAAGATCTCTCTCTCCATCTCTGTAAATAAGCCCACTCTGCTTTTTCTATCAGGTGCCATTGCAGCCGTTTACTGCTCTGCTCTATGCTGGCTCGTAAAGCCCTGTTTTTATGTGCTAAGAGATGAAGCCGGTAGAATTTGGCAGGGCTCAGGCTCTGGAAAAAGCCTGTCTGCCTGAGGAAGCTTCAGACGACATAAATTGCAGACCCTGACGGCGGTTACCAGGTCCCAGGAGTCCAACATTGTTCTCCAGACTTCAGTGGGGCTCAGATGTTTCTGGAGTGCACATCTTCTTTTCCTCTCCCCCACCATCCCCCTGTGAGCCAAAGCTCTTTTTCATTATGATTTCTGAGGCTGGAGAAGGACACCTGCCGAGAGGCTCCAGTCCCTACATGGAGTAAATGCCTGGTGGAAACCAAAAGACTGTTTGATGTTTTGCGGGGAGGTAGTTTATTTCTCCCCTCTGTGGGTTCGATAAAAGGAAGAACGAGAGCTTATCTATTTTTAAGATCCCAGAACTATGTAGCTGTCACAATCCACAGAGGGGTTCCATCTTTAAAAGGGGACCCAGAAAGGCATCTTGACGTTAGAATAACACCTGATTGCTGTTTTCATTTTCAAAATCTTGAGCTTGCTTTTATAATCAAAAGACACCATTTAAAATTGATTTGATTTTTATAAAAAGCTACTCTGTGATAGCAGTTGTCTGGCTTTAGACGTAAACGGTTTATGTGCGGTTTCTTTTATGGCTATTTTTGTAATATTTCCCTCATGTTGTGTTTGTTTTCCTGTGTTTTGCAGCTGAAGCCTGGGCAGAACAACTGTAAGGATAGTGACAGCGAGAGTGTGAGTGGTGAATCCAAACCGTCCATCAGGAGCAATTCTCGAGAAAGACTGACAGATGTAAGTCACCAGTTAAAGATCCTAGCACACCTCACATGAACGTCAAACATCAACTGATCACATCTTTCATGACCTTAGACGTTTCCTCATGGCTCTATACATGACCTTGAACACTGTAACAGCACGCATGATTAGAAACACCAAGCATTCACAACATGCTGCTCCCCCAAAATTATGTTGTTAATGTTAACTCCTGTTAATATTTCCACATATTCTAAAGATCGATTACATGATCAGTCACATGCAGATGCACCAGTTCTAGGTATCACCAGTTCTCTTTCTAAACCATAATCACCAAATTGACTGCAACTCAGAAACTCAGAGTTCAGAAAAATCTGAAGCAGCTTCTCTGATTATGCACTTTTATGTCCAAGAACATATCCTGAGCTTTCCAGGAGTCAAATTCTGGGTTATGAAACATATCAAGTGGAGAATATTAGCAATATAGCAGTATAGTACAGGAAAAACAGATCGTTGTTGCAAAGAAAGTGCCTATGTGTGGACATAGTACAGTATGGGAGTACTGTAAACATTACATATGATACGCACAGCCTAATATTCTGTCATTGTATGTTGCATGCCCATTTAGTATTTCTTCTGCATAAAACAATGTTTTAACTTCAGAATAAATTGGAACGCACTATCTAGTGCGTAAGTGTTATCCAGTAGTATCATCCATATCCTGCTGTCCTCATGGTTATCATCAAACAGTCAGTTGGTATGACTTTACATATCTGTTCCCTTATGGAGCGTGAAGTGGGTCAATATTGATGTAGCATTTTTACAATGTACTTTATCCACCCCATTGATCTAAACTGACATGGCCCTCTGCCAAATAGAACAGTAACACACTATTCTGTTACTATTCTGCGGGGGGGTTCTGACTGCACAAGCATGCATTTAGCTCGGTGCAGTCCACACCCTCAAGTCAGACTTCAGGGTCTGGTGCCTGTGTGGGTGCTGCGGTGATGATAAGCATGTCCTCTTTACTCAGTCATCTGCTTCATTGGAGACAGTGGTGTGACTGGGCCAAGAGCCATGTACTTGTAGGACTGCGAACAGTTACTATATTGCTTTACTGAGGCCGTGATTAGGTTTGAAATGCTTTTTCTTTTTATGTTGTGACAATCAGGAATTATACGCAACTTGGTGGAATACATATCTGTACACATTTCACACATTAATGTAACCTTTTTGAGTGTCATGTCTTTCCTTTGCTTATAATTTGGGTGCTATACTATTATAAGACAGCAGTGAACAGTAAAAATGAAGGCAAGGAGTTAAACCACAGAAACGGAGACAGTGAGTGAACTTTATAAACAGAAGCAGTGGCTAAACTGTAGAAATATAAGCAGTATATGTATATATACTGTGTATAAACTGTACAAATGGAGGCAATGGGTAAAATGGAACTTTAAATATAGAATATTATGCAGTGCCCCTCAGCATCTATAGACTGGGGAGGAAGCCAACAGGCTTATGAGGAGTGTATGACAAGTGAGTTGGGGGAAGACGACCATCTATCGGCCTTCTTCTACGGCTTCTCTCCTGCTTTAGGATGTAAATGTGGGTGTGTGTGGATCAGCTATCAGATAGTGGGTGTAATTAGAGCTGTCAGCTGGAGGGTGAGGCAAGTCGGGGAAACAGACGTGGCGGAACGAGCCTAGCATGATTGCTTCAGCATGTAGCTATAGGATGCTTGGCCAGGCATGAAATGAAAGTAATTTGATGTTGACATCAGAAATTGAAATGATATCTGCGTCAGGAATGAGTGAGGGGAAGAAAGAGAGAGAGAGAGAGAGACAGAGAGATAGAGAGAAAGAAATAAAGAGAGAGACTGACAGACAGACAGATATAGAGGTAGAAAAGACAGATAGATGCATAGGTACATACATACAACCCTGTATCCAAAAAAGTTGGGACTCTGTGCAAAATATGAATAAAAACAGAATACAACGGCAAATCCTTTAAAACCTGTATTTTATTGACAATAGTACAAAGACAACATATCAAATGCTAAAAATGTTTTTTTGAAAAATACATGCCCATTTTGAATTTGATGCCAGCAACACGTTCCAAAAAAGTTGGGACAGGGCAAGAAAAGACTGGTGAAGTTGTGTAATGCTACAAGAAAACAACTAGTGGAACATCTTACAACTAATTAGGATACAACTAATTAGGATAAACAGGTCAGTAACAACACTGGGTATAAAAGAGCATCCCAGAGAGGCTGAGTCTTTCAGAAGTAAAAATGTGGAGGGGTTCACCACTCTGTGAAAGACTGCATGGGCAAATAGTGCAACAATTCAAAAACAATGTTTCTCAGTGTAAAATAACAAAGAACTCATCCTCTGTGGTTCATAATATCAGTAAAAGATTCAAAGAATCCAGAGAAATCTCTGTATGTAAGGGACAAGACTAACAACCAATACTGTCTGACTGTGATCTTCGGGCCTTAAGACGGCACTGCATTAAAAACAGACACAATTCTGTAGTGGAAATCACTGCATGGGCTCAGGCACGCTTCAGAAAACATAGTTGATCACTGCTTCCACAAATGCAAATTAAAACTCTACCATGCAAAAAAAAAAAAAAAACATACATAAACAGGATCCAGAAATGCCACTGACTTCTCTGGGCCCAAGCTCATTTAAGATGGACTGAGGTGAAGTGTCCTGTGGTCTGATGAATTAAAAACTCTAAATTCTAGCTTGTTATCAATCACAGTTCCAAAGCCAGCATCCATGCTGGTGCACGTTATATGTGATTTGCACATCTGTGAAGGCACCATTAATGCTGAATGATATATATAGATTTGGAGCAGCATGTGCTGCCATACAGACAACGTCTTTTTCAGGGAAGGCCTTGATTATTTCGGCCAGAAAATGTCAAACTACATTATGCACGTATTACAGCAGTGTGGCTCCATAGTAAAAGAGTCAAGTTGCTAAACTGACCTGCCTGCAGTCCAGACCTGTCACCCACTGGGAACATTTGACACATTATGAAGTGAAAAATATCACAAAAGAGATCCCTAACTGTTGAGCAGCTGAAATCCTGTATCAAGCAAGAACGAGAGAACATTTCACTTTCAGAACTACAGCAGGTTTCTCCTCAGTTCGCAAATGCTTACAGAGTGTTGTTAAAAGAAGAGGTGATGTAGCACAATGGTAAAACATGCCCCAGTCCCAACCTTTTTGGATTGTGTTGTTGACATCAAATTCAAAATGGGCATACATTTGTCAAAAACCAATAACATTTCTTTTGGTATTTGATACGTTGTCTTTGTACTATTTTAAATTAAATAGGTGATTTGCACATTGTTGCGTTCTGTTTTTATGTACATTTTGCACAGCGTCTGAACTTTTTGGGAAACGGGGTTGAACATAAATCAATTGAATAGAATCAGTTACCCCTTTGAGTGTTGTGTCCTCTTATGCCTTTGAGGGAGATTTTCCAGCTTCTGTTGCCCTCAAGCTTACTTGAGATTTCTGTAAGTCTGCTCAGAACTTTGGCTCTGGTAAAAAGCATTATACATATAAATAATTATAATAACTACATAGTTTCTATAGTACAAGACATGGTTTTTTATATGATTTTGTGTTTTTTTTCTAGTCCTTTCTTCTTGGAATTGTCCACTGTGTGTGGCAATTCCTGAGAAGGTATGTGTATATATAGAAGATATATTTAAATTCTCTGAACATATGCACAGTTTGTCCACCTTTTTTGTTGCTTTTGTATGTGAAAAGTAATAACTTCATAATTAATTAAATATCACCAGGAATATGGCTTCCATGAGGAACTGCTTTCTCAGAATGGCAGAGCCAAGTTAAGTGAATGTCGCTGTCTCTGAATGTTCCAGAAGCCCTCGAGTGTCCTGAGGGGGATATGCTGAAAGCTTTCCTGTCGGAGAGCTCTCCTTTTTGTGCCTATTGCTCTCTCAGGTGCGTTTAAAGTGGCCGATCTTAGCCCTGAGGGGCCTGGGACAGCTCCCCTAGGAGTGTGCTGTGAAAATCCACTTCACACGTGCACTGAAGTGCTAGCTGCACTATGCTCCTAGTGCCAGGTAGATGAGTGAAGTGCAAAAGACTGAAGGAGAGTTTGACAGGGTTGGCTATGGTGAGAGACTGGGGGGGTGGGGATTTACCTCTTACATTTTTGAATGAATACTGTATTGATCAGCATTATGTGAATGTTAACAGACTGAGAAGTATCTATTAGACAGACAAAACAAAAGCTGAACCATGTTTGTGCAATTCACACACACACACACACAAACATATATACCCCATTTCCAAAAAGGTTGGGACACTGTGCAAAATGTAAATAAAAACAAAATTCAATGTGCTCAAAAATATTAAACCCTATATTTCATTGAAAATAGTACAAAGACAACAGATGTTGAAAGTAAGAACTTTTATAGTTTTTTTGAAAAATACATGCCCATTTTGAATTTGATGCCAACAGCACGTTCCAAAAAAGTTGGGACTGGGGCATGTTTACCACTGTGTTTCATCACCTCTTCTTTTAACAAAACTCTGTAAGCAATTGGGAACTGAGGAGACCACTTGCTGTAGTTTGGAAAGTGAAATGTTTTCCCATTTTTGCTTAACATAGGATTTGAGCTGCTCATCAATCTCTTTTGTCGTATTTTTGATATTATAATGTGCCAAATGATATCAGTGGTGACAGGTCTGGACTACAGGCATTGCCAAAACATGTACATATCGTTCAGCATTAATAGTGCCTTCACAGATGTGCATGTCACCCATGCCTTGTGCACCAGTGCACCCCTATACCATCATGGATACTGGCTTTTGCGCTGGGCACTGATAACAGGCTGAGTGGCCTTTAGCCCAGATGACACAGCGTCTATGATTTCCACAAAGAATTTCAAATGTTCATTTGTTGGACCACAGAACACTTTCCCCCTTCCCCTCAGTCCTCTTTAAATGAGCTCAGGCCCATGACAGCATTTCTGGATCCTGTTTATGTACAGT